CCACCTTCAGCATATGGGGCCGCTGCCCTACCCACTGAGCCACAGGCGCCGCCCCCATTAGAACTTTTTAAAAAGTTCATTCTACTTAAAAAAAATTCAGGGCAGCGCCTGTGGCTCAGTGAGTAGGGCGCCGGCCCCATATACCGAGGGTGGCTGGTTCAAACCCAGCCCTGCTCTGCCAAACTGCAAAAAAAAAAAAAAAATAGCCAGGGGTGGCACCTGTGGCTCAAAAGAGTAGGGCACCAGCCCCAAATGCCAGAGGTGGCGGGTTCAAACCCAGCCCAGCCAAAAAACTGCAACAACAACAAAAAAATATCTGGGCACTGTGGCAGGCGCCTGTAGTCTCAGCTACTCAGGAGGCTGAGGCAAGAGAATCACCGAAGCCCAAGAGCTGGAAGTTCCTGTGATCTGTAATGCCATGGCACTCTACCGAGGGTGATAGAGACTGTCTCTTAAAAAATAAAAAATTCAACCAGGCATTGGAATAGAAGTGATGTGGGATGGGGGATAGACAAGGTAGAGGGTGATCTGGGAAGGCTCCTTTGAGGAGATAACTTCTGAACTGACACATGAATAACACGAAGATCTGATGGAGAGCATTCTAGGCAGAGTAAACAGCATGTGCAAAGGCCCTGTGGTAGGAATGAACTTGATGCACTCACTCAAAGAACAGGCAAAAAATCACCCTAGTAAGTAAGAGGAACAAGAGAGAATATATACCTCTTTTTACTTAGGGTCATATACTTTGTTTCCTGGGGTTGCTGTAACAAAACACCACACATTAGGGGGCTTAAAACAATAGCACTGTCTTCTCTCACAGTTCTGGAGGCCAGAAGTCTAAAATCAAAGTCTGCACAAGGTTCCTTCTAGACTCTCTGAGGGAGACCCACATCAAGCGTCTTTCTTGGCTTCTCGTAGAAACTAGGAAATCCCTGGTGTTCCTTGGCTTATAGGAGCATTACCTTGCTCTCTGCTTTTACCTTCACACAGCCTTTCCCTCTTGTATGTCTTCTGTCTTCTCTCCTAAGATACCTGTCACCGAATTTGGGACCCACCCTAATCCAGGACAGCCAAGGATCCATCAAGATCCTTAAATTAATCCCATCTACCAAGATGCTTTTTCCAAATAAGGTCACATTCACAAGCTCCAAGTGTTGGGGCATACATGTGTCTTTGGGGGGCATCATTCAACTGGCTACAAGGTCTCAAAATAAAAAATGGCAACAGCAAGACACATGTATAGAAAGCCTTTCCCGTGCTCTGGCACCATACTCAGCACTCACTGTGCCCTATTTCATTACTTCCTAAAAGGCTGGTACTGTAAAGTCTCCACTTCATTGATGAGGAAACTGAGGCCTGGATAGTGAGATCCATGGCTAGGCTAATGTTCAAGCCCACTGTTAGTTTGACTGTGGGGCCTGCATTCTCAGCTCTACACCATTCCAGCCTCTCTTTGAACTCCTCCAGGTTGAGGCTACCCCCATGCACAACTTCAGGGGGCGCTATTTCCACAGCAGCAGCATAGGGCGAACTTGTCTGAGAAAATCCTGTCTCCCCAGAACTCAGTCTAGTTGAGGACACACATCTCCATCAGCTGCTTGTGGCCGTGGGAGTCTTATGGACCTACAAAATGGGGTCCTGAGGACCTCTCATTGCCTGGTTAGGGGATGCCTCCCATGCCTGCTGCCTTTGAAAGAAGTGCCACCAAGACCTTCTTCTCTCACCCCTATTCTCTAAGGAATGAGGCCATCACACTATTTACTTATTTGTTTGTTCCCTGTTTTGTTTTTAAATCTGTGATGCGCCATCAGAAAATTACTTCTGCATCTACCCTGTCGTGGCTCTGGGAGATGCTTTCCTTTCAGCCAATGGAGAGGCCGAGATTCCGGCAGGGGGCTGTACTCTATGGTCAGGCCTGCCCCACTGCCACCACCCTCCAACCCCCTGCACACAAAAGCAGCGTAATTAACTGTCTTAAGAAAGCCGGAGCCTCTGCCAGCCCTGAGCTAGAAAGAAGAAAATATCTCAGTGACAGGGCGCAGGCAGCGATTATGACAGAGGACCGAGCTGCAACAGCCCTGCGCAGGGGAACCTACAGCTAACCGGGATCTGTGTTCCCCACCCCTGGACAAAAGAGCCCCCCAAGCCCTTGCCACGTTGCCCTGAGTGACCTTTCTTGGATGCAGAATCCACCCCTGTGAGCATCTTCTTTCTTCAATGCTCTGAAGGCCTGGGGACTGTGAGAGATGCCTGGCTGCACCCGGGCAGGGCTGGTCTTTGTTTGCCAGTGAGGAGGAGCAGAAGCCGCTGCTGCGGAGGTGAGTGCATGTACCTTCCTTTCTCCCAGCCCTGCCAGGGATGCTTTATCTGGAGGCATTTGCTGCTTCTAACTCCCTTTCCAGCAGATGGGGTGGGTGGGAGCAGAGAACCACAGTCTTGTGACAAGCCGGAGGCTCCCACATCCTTGGGCACACACCAGCGCGGCTCATCTTCCACGCACCCTGTTCCCCCTCCCCCCCCCAAAGACAGAGATTTGCACCATTTTCAGGACACTGCTTAGAGTTTAGGCGGATAAAAAACCTGTGCAGCTGAAATGGACCCGTCCCACCTTCGAGCATTTCCTATTTATAACACCCAGAGGGACGATGAAAGCCACCAGCAGCGGATTTGGAGAGAAGCTTCTCTAAGTGTGTCGATAAAGGCTTGCCTGTGGTGTGGAGAGGGAGGGAGGTGATTAAAGACACAGATGCCTCTTCTTTCTCAGAACTTGTGTGAAATGTGCTAATAATTTGACAGCAGAGCTCAAATGAACACCTCTAACCTGTCCCTTCCTGCCTGCCTCTTTCTGCCTTCTTTGCCACCCCCAAATGTGAAGCCAGAATCTAAACGCGGGAGTGTACAGGGTACGCTGAGGACCCTCCACATTCTGTAATTAGAAGATTATGGAGCCAACACATGTGGCTTAAACAGTGGGTCCACTCCACCCTACCCCAGGACTAAAGAAAATTATCCCTGGGGGCCGAGGTCACACCTAGCTCCAGATAAGGAAGACAGACACAAAGACCACTCCCTCCAGATAGCAAATGAATTTCTCCTGATGTGATGTAAACTTTCCCTTGCAGTAAGGTTCTGGGCAGGTTGCCATTGCCCATAGCATCCGGAAGGGATTTTTTTTCACCCCCATATTCTGAGTTACTGTCCCTCCTCCATGAATGAATGACGACATTCAGGACAGAGAACTGAGTGAAAAATCCTTGGAGTGGGAGGGTCTAGTTTAGCTATCCCCTGCCCCCTCTTGCTTCCTGCCGAGAGCACTCACCTGCCTTGGTCTCCCTCTGGGTCCTACCTCACTGAGCTGCAACCTCTAAAGCAGGCCCACCATCCATGTACTGGGCTTTGGGTGGTGGGTAACGGGCAATGACACAATGTAAGCCATGCACTGGCTGCCGAGACGGGCAGCTGGGGCATATATGAGTTGGGGGAGGCCTCGGATGCTGGAAAGTGGACACAACAACACAGAGCTATTTGGAGGATGGAAGGAGGTAGCAAGGTGACAGAATAGGATGCTATGGAATGACTGCCTAACAGGGGCCTACAATACTTTCATTAAGGTGTGAACTTACAGAAAAATAGCTGTTTCCTTGAAAACAGGTTTTCTCAGCCCGGGATCTATGGACATTCAGGGCTCAGTCATTCTTGATTGTGAGGCGCTGTGGTGGGCTGAGGGGTTGAACACCATCACTGGCCTCCACCCTAGAGCACTGCCACCCCCAGTTATGATAAACAAAATGCCTCTAGACATTGCCAAATGGCACTGGGAGTGGGGAAGGGATGGCAGAATCGCCCCCTGGTGTAAAAACCATTGGTTTTAAATCTCTCCTGGAATAAGATCCCGGAATGTTATTATTATTATTATTATTTGTAGAGACAGTTTCACTTTATCACCCATGGTAGAGTGCTGTGGCATCACAGCTCACAGCAACCTCCAACTCCTGGGCTTAGGTGATTCCCTTACCTCAGACTCCCGAGTAGCTGGGACAAAGGCACCTGCCACAATGCCTGGCTACTTTTTTGTTGCAGTTTGGCCGGGGCCAGGTTTGAACCTGCCACCCTCAGTATATGGGGCTGGTGCCTTGCCCACCGAACCACAGGTGCCACCCGAGATCCTGGGATGTTATGCCTAGAAGTCATCAGAGAGGTCATCTCTCATTCAATTATTTTATTTACAGACAGGGAAACTGAGCCCCAGAGAGGTGAATAGTATGAGAGTCTGCCATGCCCCAGGACAGATCCAAATTCAGTCTCACTTGGTAGCTCCGATATTGCCTTGATCACCACAAAGAGTTCCCCACCCACTGTGGGATACTCAGAACAATAAAACAAAATGGGCATTTTGTGTTTGGTGGTGATGATCTCTTTCCACACTGCCTTTGTTAGTCCAAAGGTCTGCAGGTTGTTAGGACTTGGTTCTTTTCAGGAGGACAGAGGGGCAGAGCAGGTGGCTTGGTAAAGGTGACAGGTAGAGATGAGCTACAGTTAATCAGGAACTCTTAGAAAGGAGGTAAGTTTAAGCATACCAGTCATTCACACTTCAGTAAAAAGGAGTGTTTGGATTTATTGCTTCCCAGTTGAGGTACAAGGTAAGAGAGGAAGGATGAGTCTATTTGGATTATGGCTGTCCTTGAAGAGGGTAGAGTTCTGAGGTTCCAAGGGCGGGGTGCTTTACCTAAAGCCTCAGACCTTCATTTAAGTTCGAACTCTAGATCCACTGGGTTTTCTCAGCGCTCTATGCCTCTGTCTTCTCATCTGTAAAACAAGGGAGCCTCAGGGAGGTGCTGCACGTGGGTGGGTAAACTGTTGTTATGAATATTGTGCAGTAAAACTCGTTGTTCGGTTCCCCTTCAAAGCTCATCCCTGCTTCAAGACGGTACCTCTTTCTGGTTCCCATGGGGACCACTGAAGCCACACTCCGGATGGAAAATGTGGATGTGAAAGAGGAATGGCAGGACGAGGATCTTCCCAGGTAGGACTTGCAGGCTCCTGAGTCAGCATGAAGGAGCTAGGCCCTGTGCTTCTCCCAGGTGGGATGTAGGGAATACTGCAGTGGACAGTGAAAGTTTTCTGGAACTGCTGGCTGGCCAGGTGTCTCTAAAAGGGAACTTGTCAGAGGCTGGCCTGGTTCTAATCCACTTGTTTTCACCTCCACATTCTTTGACAGGTGAGACCATGTGTGTAAGACTTCACTGTGAACTCAGCAGACTAGTCTGGGCCAAGTAAATTATGGAGATTTAAGATTGCTTTCTCCCCACCCAAAGCTCCAAAAGAGCTCCCAATCCTACATTATTTTAAGAATTCTAAACGTTCTCCTAAAACTATTCCCCTGATACCACAATAATATTCTTACCTGGGGCTCCATGAAGCCAGGTGAGAGCATATTTTTACATGCAGCAGCAAGAGGAACCCTGTCCTACCCTAGCTTAAAACCCAGGCAGACTAGGGGCAGTGGCTCAGGCCAGTAATCTCAGCACTTTAGGAGGCCAAAGCAGGAGGTTTGCTTCAGGTCAGGAGTTTGAGACCAGCCTGAGCAGCATAGGGATACCCTGTCTCTACAAAACATAGAAACATTAGCCAAGTTGGTAGCAGACACCTGTAGTCCAAGATACTTGGGAGTCTGAGGCAGGAAGATCCCTTGAGCTCAGGACTTTGAGGCTGCAGTGAGCTATGATAGTGCCACTGCACTCCAGCCTAGAGGACAGAGCAAGACCCTATCTCAATAAAAGAAAAAGGAGGAGGGGGCGGTCTTTGTGGCTTATACCTGTACCTGTAATCCTAGCACTCTTGAAGGCCGAAGTGGGTAGATTGTTGAGCTCAAGAATTTGAGACCAGCCTAAGCAAGAGCAAGACCCTGGCTCTATTAAAAACAGGAAAACTGGGCGGTGCCTGTGGCTCAGTGAGTAGGGCGCCGACGCCATGTACTGAAGGTGGTAGGTTCAAACCCAGCCCCCGCCAAACTGCAACCAAAAAATAGCCGGGCGTTATGGCGGACACCTGTAGTCCCAGCTACTTGGGAAGCTGAGGCAAGAGAATTGGTTAAGCCCAAGAGCTGGAGGTTGCTGTGAGCTGTGACATTACAGCACTCTACTGAGGGTGACAAAGTAAGATTCTGTCTCTTAAGGAAAAAAAAAACAAAAACAGGAGAACCACCAGGGTGTTGTGGTGGGCACCTGTAGTACCAGTTACTCAGGAGGCTGAGCCCATGAGTTTGAGGTTGCTATGAGCTATGACGAGAGAGTCCTGGCACTCTACCCAGGTGATAGAGTGACACTCTGTCCAAAAAAAACAAAAACCAAAAACCCTCAGGTAATGCCTGTTCCATTGAAAATTCAGTGTCTAGCCTCCCCTTGGGTCTTCAACCTTACTTCCCCTCACTCTTCCATCCCCTGAAGCTGCAGTGGCTTCTTGACTGGCTTACCTCACCTTCAGACTTTGCACTGGCTGTTATCCCCCAGCCCTGAATGTTGTTTGCAGATGCTCAGCCTGCCTGCTTAATTCAGATCTCTGCCCATGGGCCACCTTTTTGGTGAGAGTCTCTATGGCCCCTTCATTACCTCTTCCTCAATTTCCTGAATTTTCTCCCTCCTGAATCATGACCCTCCACAAAGTTAGCCATACATCCTGATCCCTGGAACCTGTGACTGTTACCTTACCTGGCAAAAGCCACTGTGCAAATGTGATTAAGTTAAGGATCTTAAAATGAGGAGATGATTTGGGTTACTCCAGTGGTCCAGTGTCCTCACAGGGTCCTTACATGAGGAGGCAAGAGGGTCAGAGATAGAGAAAGAATAGTGGCAGATACTGTGCCACTGGCTCTGAAGGGGGTGAAGGGGCCCTAAGCTGAGGGATACAGGTTCCAGATGCTGGAAAAGGCGAGAGACAGGTTCTCCCTTGGGTCCCCCAGGAGAAACCAGCCCTGCATAGTGAAACTGATTTCAGGGATACTTCTGGCCTCTAGATTTATACAAGGAAGAATATGCGTTGTTTAAAGACATTAAGTTCATAGTATTTAGTTAGGGAGACACTACACCACCTGATATGCTGAACGCTCCCCCAAACAGAGTACCCCCAAGAGCAGAGATCTTTGTTGCTTTTTTTAGAGACAGAGTCTCACTTTGTCACCCTTGGTAGAGTACCATGGCATCACAGCTCACAGCACATCCAGCTCTTGGGCTTCCGCAATTCTCTTGCTTCAGCCTCCCAAGTAGCTGGGACTACAGGCACCCACTACAATACCCAGCTATTCTTTTGTTGCAGTTTGGCCGGGGCCAGGTTTGAACCCACCACCCTTGGTATATAGGTCTGGCATCCTACTCACTGAGCCATGGGCACCGCCTGAGATCTTTGTTTTGATCACTACTGCATCCCAACGTGACAATAATGCCTGGCATATAGCTGGTGCTCAATAGATATTAGGTGAATGGGTAACAATCACTGACAGAAATTTTTAAAAAATCATGCAGGAAAGGAAGCTGTATGCATTTGCTACTAAGATGCATGATCTTTTTTTTTTTTTTTTTTTGAGACAGGATCTTGCTCTGTCATCTAGGCTGGAGTGCAGAGGTGAGAGCTCACTGCAGCCTCTAAATCCCGGGCTTAAGTGATCTGATCCTTCTGCCTCAACCTCCCAAGTAGCTGGGACTACATGTGTGCACTATCATGGCCTGCTAATTAAAAAAAATTTTTTTGAGACAAAGTCTCACCCTGTTACCCTGGGTAGAGTGGCATAGTGTCATAGCTCACAGCAACTTTAAACTCTTGGGCTCAAGAGATCTTCTTGTCTTAGCCTCCAGAGTATCTGGGACTACAGGCACCTGCCATAATGCCTGGCTAGTTTTTCTATGTTTTTTTTTAGTAGAGATGGAGTCTTGCTCTTGTTCAAGCTGGTCTCAAACTTCTGAGCTCAGGAGATCCACCTATCTCAGCCTCCCAGAGTGGCTAGGCGTGAGCCATTGTACCCAGCCTTAAAATATTTTTTTTTAGACATAGGGTCTTGCTATGTTGCCCAGGCTGGTCTCAAACTCCTGGACTCAAGCAATCCTCCTGCCTCCGCCTCCCAAAGTGCTGGAATTATAGGTTTGAGCCACTGCTTGCATCCAAGGTGCATGATTCTGATTTCTTGAGTGGAGACAACTGCTCATCCCTCTCTTTGAGTAGCATAGTGTCATAGCCACAAGGAATTCATTCCCAGGCCACGAGGTCAAAGAGTTAATTATATAAACTATCTGGGGAGGTATTGTCAAAAGGACTGGATGTGTTCAGCCTTCAAAGAGAAAATTTGACAAAGAATCTCCAGCTCCAGAAAAATTTCATTCTGGGAAGGTTCCTGAGAGCAGAACTAGGCTGAATGAACAAGGCTGAAAAAGACAAGTTGAAAGGCAATACAGAAGAATGCTTTAAAATGATAGGTCTTCTTGGAAATGAAGTGGGATGATATAGGAGGTTGATAGCTTCTTGTCAATTCATATCCAAGTGGGAGTGGACACCCACTGTGGAAGATGGCTTCCCATATTAAAGGACTTCAGCCCTCTTCTGAATCTAGTCACTTCCAGGCTTCTGAATCTGGGCACATGTGTGTGTTTCTTTCTAGCCAGAGGTGCCTATTCTTAGAGTAGCTGAGACTCTCTTGTCTGCCTGGTACCAATGTCCATGGGAGTTTCATCACAGAGATGGTTCCTTGGTCAGCGCTTATAGCGCCTATTCATTCACCTTTGCAATTTCCTTCTCCTTTTTAATTCAATATAAATAAGAATAATGCCTGACTATATAGAGTCACCGGACTGGGCATGGTGACTCATGCTTGTAATGCTAACATTTTGTGAGGCCAACGCAGGAGGATTGCTTAAAACCAGGAGTTTAGGCTCGGCGCCTGTGGCTCAAGTGGCTAAGGCGCCAGCCACGTACACCTAAGGTGGTAGGTTCGAATCCAGCCTGGACCCGCCAAAACAACAATGACGGCTGCAACCAAAAAATAGCCAGGCGTTGTGGCAGGTGCCTGTGGTCCCAGCTACTTGGGAGGTGGAGGCAGGAGACTCGCTTGAGCCCAGGAGTTGGAGGTTGCTGTGAGCTGTGATGCCACGGCACTCTACCTAGGGGGACAGCTTGAGGTTCTGGCTCAAAAAAAACCCAGGAGTTTAGACCAGGTATGGTGGCTCATGCCTGTAATCCTAGCCTTCTGGGAGGCTGAGGTGGGTGGATTACTTGAGCTCAGGAGTTTGAGACCTGCCTAAGCAAGAGCAAGACCCTGTCTCTAAAAATAGCTGAGCATTGTGATGGGTGCCTCAGCTGCTCAGGAGGCTGAGACAAGAGGATCCCTGAGCCCAGGAGTTTGAGGTTGCAGTGAGCTGTGATAAGGCTACCACACTCCAGGGCAACAGAGTGAGGTCTTAGGAATACTCTGGAATGAGAAAGAAATGGTTTTAAGGCAGTCACTTGCTCCTGGTGTGCCCAGAGAAATATTTAAGGCCTCAGTTTCCCCATGTGTAAAAGATGGAATCAGATAGTGTGAATTCTGTGAGTTTCTCCCAGCAGCAGCCTGGCTTCCCAAGGAGTCTCTGTCCAGTCCTCAGCATCACTCTCCTGTCCCCATGAACTCTGGCCTCTGCCAAGACCAAAGCATCAGCTTTGAAAACCTTCAACTTGTCCTAGGCATCAACTTTGAAAACCTTCATCAACCTTCTGTCTCAAGGCAGAAAACCCCAAACCATTGTAGACATAAAAATATCCTCTATGACTCAGCACAGACCTTTCGCTATACATTCTAATATTATAAGAAATAATATTAGATTATTTCTAATATTCTAATATTATCTCTAATATTATAAGAAATAAGCTTCAGAAGCAGATGGCCCTGGGGCAAATCCCAGTTCCCCAACAGGTTTGCTCTGCCACCTGGGGCAACTTTTTGGGCATCCTAGTGCTTCTTGTTTTCTTAACTGTAAAATATGAATAATAATAAATAAATTATCA